GAAACTGCCCACATTCTGTAAAACATCAAAAGATGAGGGACGTTACTGTTTTTCTGGTAGTCCAGTAATTACTTTTTTTTGTTTGATTTCTATATTAAACAATTTTTTAATCAAATAAATAATATAAACTTCATTTCACTTCTCAAATATCACTGTGTTTGTCCCCTATGATATATTTAACTGATTGTTTTAATCCAAACAATCAATGATTAATAAAGGTAAATCAGGAAAATTAACAAGGTTGCCCCAACTTTCGCACCCCACTMTATATAGGGATTATATTTAGGATCTGCATTTAGTTTTTTGCTCAATCCCAGTGTATTTGAATTTGTGAGAGTACAGTGAGCGTACTTACTGATGAAGAACTATTGACTTTTGTGTTACCAGGCCCAGATCAGTGTATCGACCTCTGAACCCTCTGGCTCCAAGCAGAGGTGAGTTTAAATGTTAKAAAGTTTGTTTTTTGTCATGGTAGTAAACACAGCAACAAGAAGGATAGTGTTGGAGTGCACACTAGTAACTGAATGTGGAAGTATAAACTTAAATACAGGTTAGTGCTTGTATAGCAGCATGGCAACAGTGTTATTGTTTTGGTCCAGGATGTCCTGGTTCCCCAACACCTGATGTCTAACTTTCAGAGCATGCCACCATTTTTTGTGTCTCACTCATTACACAACTGAGGCTGCTTGAAGCTTTGCTGCAACCTGAGTTTCCTGTATTAAAGTTGCGCAACAATAATTCTGCACCAACAGTTCCTTCAGTGGTGGATGCTGGTCTTTCAAGGAGGGGAAGCTCAATTTCGGCCTACATCATAAAATTACTAAAATAACTACTTTATGTGTGTCCACCTGTGTGTGTGCTGTGTGACGGCTGAGGGGCTCAGCAGCACCCGCTGGACAGAAACTACCATAGAAGTCAGAAAGAATGGTAGAAGTCTGTCTCCAAACACAAGCAGCTACAGAAAACCCACCAGAAATTGAAGCTTGATTTGTCGCTAGTTGTTTTTAACAAACAAAATGCTGCTAACAGGATTAATAAAGTCTCCGGTTCAACTCGGAACAGAAACAAAAGTAAAAAATGCTCCCATGGATATTTACACCAAAAGATCGCTGATTCGCTCATTTCACTGTCAATCAAAAAGGGATTCAGCCTCTCACCATAGACTTAAACATAGATCACTAGACTAAGCCCCGCCCATCCCGTCCACTGGTGTCTGTGACATCATGGAGGAGCAGAAACAGACCAAACAGGACAACAGCTCACAGCCTCCAACAGCAGCTGAACTGGATCTGTTTCACAGATTATCTGTCATGTTTTTACAATAAATTAATAATTAATCATGTAAAACAGCAGATTTATACCAGAAAAATATATAATTTATAAGTAATAATGATCTAAACCAGACCTGAAGTCAGCCTGTAACTTAGACTTTAGCTAGTTGAAAAATGATGACTTCAGCTAGTAATAAAGTATATTTATTATTTCTTCTTACTGTCATAAAATTAAGAATATTTATATTTACCAGTCAAGTTATAAAATGTTCTCTGGTTACAAGATGAAACTAGTCTCTATTAGCTAACCATCTTCTCAACAAGTC